TGTTTATGTAATTCTTTTTCTATTTCTTGACAGTGTTTGGACATTATTTCCTTTGCTTTGGGTACTGTGAAGATATAGTACAGAAATGATCCTGTGAAGTATTTATAATATATGAAATATTGTAAAATTGGTAAATACCGTTTTCGACGCTTCCATGCTGGACTCAATGGATCACTGCTGCTTTGTCGACGGTGTTTATTTCTTGCAAGTCTGAAAATTTAAAAAAGTCATGTTTAAATATAAACATAACATACTGATTGTAAAACATCCAATGTTTATTATTTATTTGTGAAATAATATAAATTTTTTTTTTACAAATTTATGTTTTGTCTTTTATGTCTCATGCTCACCTCGTCAAATGTGGAGTATTTTTTTAATTGTCCTGTCTTCTTGCCACAGACCTGCTCAACAGAATAAAAAAGATCATTAAAAATAAAACCTTGCTGAAAAGTAATTTCAGAAATATCACTGTGAGCATACCTTCTTGGTGTTGAATTGCATACTTGTCTTTCAGGGCCAAATGCCACCGGTGGACCTTCTTCAATGTCGACATTTGCATCCGACCGGTCACTTCTAAAAGAACATCACTATTAATCATCCCTTTGTGATTTTTGTTAAATTAAACCTTCAAATATTTACCTCCTACGTATTCCTTTTGGCGTACTAATATTTACAATGTTGTCTTCTACAACTACATGAGAAGTTGATGGTGAAATTGTATCTGAAGATCCTATTCTTCTTTCAGAATTGACAACTAATGGGAATACTCGTCGGAGGACATTGAACTTGAGGTTTGGTTCAGCCACCGCATTCCTTGTAAAGAAGTACATTTATGTAATTACATAACACCACGTTACAAATACAAATGTGTATGTGTTTTTATATACTTACTTGTTTACATTTTGAGCTTCCGAACAATTGAAAAACAACGTTGGCACAGCCGATGGTAGTAGGTGGCGTTTCTTAACAGGGTCTTTCCGTGCTCGACCTTGATGAAAGGACTCTTGACTAAAGTGAACTGAGCATATCCTTGCTGAAAATAATATAATGTATAAATAATAAAACTTAATACATCGTATTAAATGTGGTTTCATAATTTTTATTTCAAATTAAAGATTTTCATATTTTTAATTGTAA